AAAAGAGTTATACTAAATCGCATGTCCATCCCGGATTCATTAGCTTTCAAACTTCCAGGGGCAATTTCCATTTTTTTTCTTTCTATCAACTTTTTCCAAATCGCTGGACCGGTTCATTAAATAGCTGGGTATAAAACGGCCGCACTGATCTCCTCTGCCTCCTCTACAGTGCTTAGGCGCAGACGACTTAAGTGTCTTTTTCAGGAGCCAGATCTCGACGTCCTATTCTTCTCCTCCCCGCCCCATAGACTCGAGTGAAGATTTTGCAAGTTCCACCCCAGTCCTGTTTTGACAGATTCTGTTTACTTTGACTACAGATGTGCGCGCCAGCCACCCATCGCGCGGAGATGCAGGCTTTGGGGCACAAAGGAGCTCCCCCTACTTCATCCTGCTCGGCTTAAGACGATTTTGCTGGACTGCAAAGGCTGCTGTCAAATTCATTTAGGCGGAAGATGTCAAGAGGGCGGTGAAAAGGAGCATTTTTGGATGGTAGTACTGCAGGCCTTTATGTTCTTAAGATGATAAGTTGTTCTTAGATCTGTGGCGATGATCGCACGAACTTGCTGTAAACTGCAACCCAGCTACGACATCAACAATTCCATAATAATAACAACGACAAAATATCAACAGCAACAACAACAATCACATTGACAAAAAGAACAACTATAACAAGAACAATGACATTAGCAGCAACATCAACAGCAACAATTATAGCAAGAACAAAACCTCCCACCATTAACACCTACATCAAACGCGACAATAACAAGAAGAATGACATCACTGCCGGCGTGACGTCATCCGTGAGAGAGCTTGCACAATTTACACTAGAACTTACAACTTACAACTGGCCTGGTACTTCAAGTACGCCTTTTTATACAAGCGAAAGTCATCCTTAGACATTAATAGTTGTTGGGTTTTTTTAAAGTGTAGGTGTTTTACGCCTGCATCGACGCAATTTAGATTTTTTAAGACAGGCTACGACCACGCAGTGCCAGGGTCAACCCGGGGTGAGAAAATAACAATTATTCAGCAAGAAAGATCGAGATATTCATCGCAAATTCTCCCTAAACAGGAATCGAACTCATGTATGTTGCATGCTACGACGAAGCACTTAACCGCTACACCACAAATGAAAGTCGGTACGTCATTGGTGATATAAGAAGTTTCCGTTTAAAATCTGCTCGACGTAAGCGACAGTAAGTAAGTACACTGAAACTAAACGTGCTGGAAAAGTCGCTCGCGCCCATGGAAGGACGAGGCAAAGTAAAGGAGCCTCTGTGAAGACGGCAGTTGTTTGATATGGCTCTAACGGATTTTGCTCAATACTGAGATCAGTTCCAATAATAATTTATGAGGCCGTAAATTTAAAAAAAATAAGAGGACTTCCAATACATTACGAAATGATTTAATGCGGCTGTACTTATCGCGCCCTGAAGAACGGCTACGGTTGCTGAAGGCCTACTCTAGCATATCAATATTTCTATTCTCAGGAACGCGATCGGTATGATTTGGCCTGAGGGGCTAGAGCTCAAAGTTACACAAACATGCGAAATCTAATACAGGTGTAAACATCCAAGGGTATTACATAGAATCCCAGCAATACCAGATGTACGAATACCGTAGCGGAGATGGTTGATCCGGGCTCTGCTTTTTGGAGCCGTTATTATGATTTGAACGTGCTTGGGAGAAAAAAATCGTGAATGCTTTATTAATGTGCGAGTAATATTATCAACAGGCAGAGTAAACAAAGAACAAAAAAAGTTTTGAAAAAACATCAGAAAAAGACGAGTCAACGGCAGGATATATCACATAATCATACTTCTAAGTTTATGAGGAAAAATCTCCGTTAGACAGGATGGTAGGCTTATGATTGAACACCTGAGGGACACCTCTTCAGAATTCTAACGAGCCGTTTGAATTATCAGCTCTAGAAATCGCCCAAGGGTGAATCGATTTTTTATAGGAGATAAAATAAAATCCGAAATGCTTGTGACATTCAAAATGTCTTGAGCTTTATGCAGTATAATCTGTAATAATAGAACACCTGTTGAAACCGTGAATCACCCACGAATATATTCTGCCGCCAGGGCCTTTGAACAGTGACGTAGATCGACCATCCTCGTCTTAGAGTTGGGCGTAGTGTTGTTTGCGTTCCGGGGTCCCACAAGAGTAAATACGGACGTAAGTTTAGGCATTCGCGCCTATTGCTGTAATTAATATGGTAATTAAAGAAGGCCAATTTGTTGTGGAGTCATTATACGGGTCGAGGGTCTATAGACATATCTGGAAGATCGTTCAATAAGGTCAACATTCGGGGAATCAAAGTGAAATATAGTGATACGTATGCTGAACAAATCATGGTAGAGGACTGTTACGAGGATTTGTTTTTACCTTGAGCGGATTTGTTGGGCGGACGTTCCCTTGTATGTACCTGGGCGGGTGAAAAGTGAGGAAAGGTATTTCTTTAGCCTGCCAGCAAATCGAACCATGACTCTGCCAGTTCCTTTAAAAACTGTCCCTTCATGAATTCACTTTAGTTTTCTTGTACTCTCTCTCTCTCTCTCTCTCTCTCTCTCTCTCTC